CGGAGAAAGTTGTGGATTTTGTGGTAGAGACCCCGCGGATTTACCCAGCTGTTAATGTTGTTAAACAAGGTGCTAAAGAAGTTACAAAAGCTGGAGCAAAAAAATTAGCTGTACGAGCTGCTAGTGGTATTGTAACTGGAGTTACAACAAAAGCAATCGATGAAGTTAAACAATGTTCAACAACAAATAAAAAATGGTCGAATTATGGAAAAAGTTTGGATGAAAATGGTAAAGAAAATGGAACGACAGTTTCATGGATTACTAGTGCAATTGTTGGTGGTTTAGGTATTGCAAGTAGTCATATTAGTTCGAATTTATCTCAATCAATCACATCTGATGTTGTTAAAAGTGTTACACATGTTGCTGTTAGTGGAACAACTGCAGTAGTTAGTGATGCAACAATTCAAGGTGTAAATATAGCTGTTGGAAATCAAGATCGATATGATATTAAACGTACAATTACAAGTGCTAGTACAAGTGTAATATTGGCAGCAGCACAAGAAGGAACAAAGAATGCAATTTATCATGCTAATGGTGGAAAAGATCATATGTTAAAAGAAAAAACAAATAGAAAAGTTGTTGAAGAAAATGTACCTAAAAAAGATCAACAAGCACTTATGAAAGGAATTAAAAATTTGAAGAAAACACCTCAAAAAATATTGGATAATGAAGCAGCAAAAGCTACTACTTATACTACTGAAACACAAGCACAAAGATTTCATCAATCGAATATTCAAAAGTATCAATCTCAAATTCGATCTGAACTTGCATTAAAAAAAGTAGCTATCGATACTGGAAACAAACTAGCAATCGACGAACATCAACGAAATGTAGATAATTTAATCAGACAAAAAAATGAAGAAATTAATAGTCTTAAAGATTTAAAACTAACATTTAAAAAAAATGATCTACATAAGATGAATAGTGATAATGCACACTTTCTTATCGGTGATAAACTTGGACAAGTAGCTATTGATATAAAATCATCGGATGCAACGTCTCGAGGAGCAACTAGAGTCGTATTGGATCGTTATGTTGATGATCAAGGACGTACAGACTTTATATTTGCTGGTTATACAAATGAACATCAATATTCAAACATTCCTAATTATGGTGAAGGTGATTATTATGAAATTCATCAAAATTATGAGAATAACTTAAAAGTAATCGATGGAGAAGTGAATAATCTCATGTATAACCAATCAATACAACATGAACAGGAAAAGAAAAAGAAGAAGGAAAAACAACTGTAAAAAAAAAAAGAAACAGCTAAAGCTATTGTATATCGTTATTTTTTTATTTTGTTCTTTAACGAATGTAAAATCTCTTACTTCATATTTTTGAAAATAAATGTACATTATTTAGTTAATAGAACAACTAGATATAAATATTTTGGATAATAACTGATTTTTGAATTTAAAAACAATATTCTAACTCTGCAAGGATTTAGGAAAATTCTAAGTCTAAGAAATGGTCAAGTATTTGTTGTCTTAGACGAAATTAGCTTTCTCCAAAGAAAATAGAAAGATCTTGAAATTGGATGAAAATTCCTAAAAATGTTTTTCTCCGTCTAGTATGTTTATTTAATTAATCTACAGATGCATAAATGTTTCTGGACTAAGGTACAGATTTTCTAAAAAGTCTTTCGTTTAAAGGTTTTTCGTGTTCTTTTGTCTTAGAAATATTTTAAGAGAAAAATAAAGACTTATTAAATAAAAATTTTGGATAAAGGCTGATCTTATGTATTTCTACATCGAAAATCTTCTTGTACACATTTCGCTTTTTTCTCGTCGACTTTTTTTTTCTTTTTTTACTGAGTATTGAAAATTAATGTTACTATGAAAAAAAGAATACGTTTTTTACTAAAACAAACCATGTTCACATGTTCTATAGAAATTGTCCGTTGTAGGACAGTGACAAACATTTCCATCTCAAATGCCAGAGACTGGCACGGGTCAGTTCGAGCTAAAACTGTGCAGTTCAGAAAAGTGAATAACAAATTTCCTAAGTAGAAATACAACTGTTGATAGGTTTTCTGGCCGTTCTTAGTCTAAGAGAAGCGGAACATAGACAAAACATTCTATCGTGTAGGGAAAAACCTTTACATCATGAACAATTCAATCGAAGTCAATACAATATCCATATTTCTCTCTATGTTATACAAATAAAGTAAATAAATAAATAATAACTATGAGAACATGGATTGATAAGTATATAATAACCATCCTTCGATGATAGAAGATCATGGATACTCTGCACTGCTCAAGAGGATAAATGTTTCAAGGAAATCGTCTATAAGATTTCTATTTGTAAAGTATTATAGTTATTTTTGCTTTGAACTTTATTCGTTGTCAAATGATAATTATGCCAAGCAACACTTTCTCAATTAAATATATTGATTAAAGTTACAATTTAGTAATTAGTTAACTAATCATTGAAGAACCTTTTTTTTTGTGTCCGACACATAGCTTTTTCCGCTGAGGCTTCTATTATTGTGGTTTTCAATTATTACGGAAGTGGTTTAAATAACATTTGTCTGAAATAAGATGAATATTATAATAAAAGTTACATCATTTTAATCATTTCTAATAGAATTTCAAAATTTTTTCGATTCAATTTAAATTTTGCAAAAATTTGAAGCGAGCTTATCACTGCTGTATACTTCAATATTCAATTTAAATTGTATTCTATACAGCATAAACTTTTTTATATAGATTTATTGTTTTCTTAAGTTTTGATTTGTATACAATAAGTAAATGTTCAAGACAAAGTCATTGT